TGATTGCCTCACAGATTGCCATCAATCATGCTATCTGGTGGCAAATTCCAATCGACTATTTGCAAGAATCCAGCCGAGAGCCAGTTATGGCTACCGTGGGATATGCCCTCCCAGTTGTCCTGGTCAATTGCTTCAGGGACCGGGAGAACAGGCACAAACTCTTCATTTCCATTACCCTTGTCCATGGTCAAGCTCAGACCATTGAGAGCTGTGCCGAGGGGTTCCTGCACCGCGTTTGGTGGATCCACGACAACAGATACTGCTACTTCGTACAATGCCTTGATGATGTGGTAGGAGGCAATCTTCTGGTGGTTCACGTCATACCTTTCGTAGAACGAGAGGACGAGTTTGATCAGCTCGATATCCTGTGCCGCTGTGGCGGACGTCTTGTTCTCGATGATATTGATGAAGAGAATGTCGACGCTCCAAGCTACCTGATAAAGAAGGTATCTGGCCTGAGTCAGTATGGCCGGGCAGTCTATCCATTGAGGTGCTACTAACATTGTGAAGGGATGGTCGATGTGGTGGTAGTTCAAGAGTGATACAGCCCCACGAGCAGCATTGACGCAGATAGCAACGCTGGGGCGCAGAAAGTCCATGTCCTGCGCAGACAATGGCATTCTAAGCGCCGCCGAATGAACTGCTACCACCAACTGGAAGTACACGAAGTGCAAGACACTCAATGCCATCAACCTAGCATGATTGTCATCATCCAGAGAGGCACCTGACTGCTTCGGGCGAATCATTTCGGGGATACTATCCCGCCATTCCTGAAGCTCTCTATCCAGGAGGCCAATTTCAGATTCTAGGGCAGTCGCTGACGTCGGGCTGTTCAGATACAGTCTTGAGTAAATTCGGCCCTGGATTTGTGCTAGCTTGACTTCCTGCCGAAAGTAGTTGAGAACGACGTCGCCCGGATAGTAAAAGAAGCCATAGCAGTCCAAGGGATACTCTTCGGGCAAGTCAACGAGGAAGTTATCAGTGATTAGAGGCGGCTTCCCAATCCGTAGCATTAAGTCATGATCAAAGATGTAGGCTTGCCAGAACAGACGCCGACGATGTTGGATTTCCGAGTCGCTTAGGCCGGGATGGTTGCTATGGTAGTAACCTCCTAGGAGGAGAGACTGTGTTGCTAGAGCCAGAACAGAAACAGCAATGTGGTTTTCGGCGGTAAAAATGAAATGGGACACCTGCATCGTCAATACTGCAACTCAATACCGCTGGATAACAGACTCACCAGCGCAAGGAGAGCCCCTATGGTCATGGGGCAGGGTGAATGCAGCATGGCGGTAGGTATGAGGGCCATGGCATTATGCAAATATTTCTCATGTTCTCGTGTGCCGTGGAGCAAATCTCGTTTTCGATGAGGGTGCAGGAGGATGGTGTATAGGGCTATCTTCCAACCGATGCTGCTTGACGATTGTCCATGTAGATACGACTGAACCGCGGCGCGGACTGACGACTCATCAAAGAATTTGATGTGCCGGTTGAGAGTGAGGAAGAAGTCTAGGACGCGAACAGATCAGTCGAATTGATGACTTGTTTGGTTTTGAATAAGGCAGCATACCTTTCATGCATTCCGCCACAACAAAGTCCGATGGGAAGGAGTCAGTGGCTGTCGAAACATAATTGAGGGTTCTTTGAGGCGGGATGCTATTGATTTGGTCTAGAAGTCCACGGGCAACGCCAGAGAAACGCTTGTCCCCAACCAACGTGTCAATTTTCTCCATGCCCTCGGCCGAGAAAAGCAAACAAGAACCTGTTGGCTTGGTCAACTACTAGTTCCCATGTAGCTAAGCTGACGTTCATGAAGTTGATACGTACCACCGGCGCCGATGGCAGCTTCGGGCATAGCGTCAGCGTGGAACAGCTTCGGCCCAGATGAAGTTGTGCTTGACGGGGATGTCAGACTCGGATCGGGCTGTGGTGGGTTCTGTGCCGGCGACGTCTTCATCCATGTGGAATGGTCAGTAGTGGCGCCATTTGACGAGGCCTCGCTCATGGCCCGAGGCTGGGCCTCCTGAACCGATTGTGGTTCCTGCAGGTCTTTGACCAAGCGCTCTATCTGAGCTAGTCTTGCGGTGACATTTTCATAGAGTCTCTCTCTGGACAGGGGCGATCAAGGTTAGTCGGTTGGTTGTGGTTTTGGGATACGCGGAAAGTAAGGCAGGCAAGCAGGCAGGCAGGTTGGTGACTAACGTCTTTTCTTTCCGAGGATTGTTCTTCTTTCTTTGAGGCCAGACGCAGTCCTGGCCGTATCGTTCGCAGGTGGAGCATATTGGTTTCCGGTGGTCGCACTTTACCTAATCATTCAGTTGGCACATGGAGCGTACCAAAAGAGAGAATGGCTAATATCAAACCTTGCGACGTCGGCATGACGAGCACGAGAGAGATGGAAGCCTCACGGCCGCTGTGAAAGAGTCGGCTTCCGGGACTTGCGGTCTATGCTGGGATTGCATCGTAGTAGGGCTTCGGAAGGACATTCAAAAAAGCCCTGCGATTGAACATGTGTTCCGGCGCTCTCGACGGTCAAATGTTCGGCAGTGGTTTGTTGAGAAGTGGAAAGATGGGTAGATGGTGGATGTTCGGAACCTGCCGACTAACATGAAAGACACAGACGGACGTATCGCCTGCCATCGGACAGGAAAAGTTCCGTCCGACGTTTTTAATGTGGTTCTCGCTCTCGCTTTTAGAGAAAAAGGCTTGGCTTCCGTTAAAAAGGGTTGCATTCCGTTACAAAAGACTATCTGCTAGAGCCCAATCCGCGGCGCGAGCATAAAGAAAGTTTACCAGGGTGCCAGATCCCTACATAATGCCCACTTGCCGTAGGAAGAACGAAGTGCACAATATCGTCGAATTATACGCAGTAATTATGCGTTGTACGAATACCATGGCACTACGATGGATTGGGTTCAGTTTTATGTGATACCTACCTACCTCACCTCATCCATGCCGGGCACGGGCATCTGTCAGGATAGCCCGGACAGCTGGGACCAGCTGTGGCACGCTCACCGGCACACCGACAGTCCGGAAACACTTCCGGAGCTCCACACCGGTACCTGTCGGTGAGTAGACCAATTGGAGTCGACGTTGAACTTTTCGCTGTTCCAACTGTTCCAACACCGAACGGCTCTCTCCACGCCCGGCTTAAGCCCACCCAGGTTGCCGTCGAAGGCGGCGCGTCGACCGATAGCCAGCTTCAGCGTCTCACGACTACGCACATCGTCACGATGGCGGGTGGTCGCAAAAGCAAATCCTCGGGCCCCGCGCCTCCATCAAGAACGCTCGTCCTCGACAACGGCGCGTCCACCATCAAGGCTGGCTTCGTTTCCGACGAGCTCACCGAAGACCCGCGAATCATCCCCAACTGCATCGCCCGCGATCGAGCAAGAAAGGTCTACGTCGCGTCAGACCTCGAGAAATGCCGAGACTTCGGAGAAATTCAGTTTCGCAGACCCGTCGAGAAGGGCTTCATCGTCAATTGGGAAGCCCAGAAGGAAATCTGGGACCACGAATTCTTCGATGACAAGGCGCCGCAAAAGTGCGACCCGACCGAGACGAGGCTGCTGCTCACAGAACAGCCCAACTCACTGCCTATTTTGCAGTCAAACTGCGACCAGGTTGTCTTCGAGGAGTACCAGTTCGCTAGCTTCTATAGAGGCACAGGTAAGTCCCTCCACTGTTCCATGTCTCGCCCAAAGGCGTCGGTCGGCCATGAGCTAACTGCCATGCTTCAGGTGCCTCGTTCAATGCGTACCACGATATCCAAGGCATTCTCCAAACCCCTCGAGACCCGAACACTGTCCCCCAGCTTCCGGCCGAAGTTGTCCTCCTCATCGATTCGGGCTACTCCAACACCATCGTCACTCCTCTCCTCAACGGTCGGCCCCTCCAGTCGGCCGTTCGCAGACTCGACGTAGGGGGGAAGCTCTTGACGAACTACCTCACCCGCCTTCTCTCCCTTCGATACTACGACATGCGAAACGACACCTACATCGTCAACGAGATCAAAGAACAAGCCAGCTACGTTTCGCTAGACTTCAATGGTGACCTCGAGAAGACATGGAAGGGAACCCGGGGCGAGAAAAGAGAGCCATACATGACCGGGGCGGGCATCGCCAAGGACTACGTCCTGCCTGACTTTCACACCCGTACCAATGGCATCGTCCGAGACTTTGACCCGGCAAATCATACCAAGGCGAAGAGGAAGGCGGCAGCGGACAACAACGAGGATGTTCTTACCTTGCGCAACGAACGCTTCTCCGTACCTGAGCTCCTCTTCCAACCTTCTGACATTGGCCTCCGCCAGCCCGGTCTTGCCGATGTCGTCATGCAATCGCTCTCCGAGCTGCCCATTGGCCTGTGGCCAGGTCTGCTGGCCAACATTGTGGTTGTCGGCGGCAATGCCTTATTCCCGGGCTTCATCCAGCGACTCGAGAAGGAGTTGGTTAAGAGGGTTCCGGACGCCTGCATTGTCCGCGTCGCAAATCCTGTCGACCCCATCACGAGCACCTGGTACGGCGGTGCCAACCTGGCGAAGCACCCCGACATTTTGAAGTACTCTGCCACAAAACAGGAGTACGAAGAGTACGGCGGGGCCTGGATCGCTCGAAAGTTCGGTTCAGGCAGCACAGCCGAATAAATCATTGTGCTCTACGATACATTACGGTAACCCTACTGTCGAAAAGGACATGCCTCTCAAAAAACCGCCCCAGGAACATTCCACTCTGGCGTAAACCAGCTGCTAAATACCCCCGATGCATAAGTCTATGAATCAAAAACAACCAACTGCTATGCGTGTACAAAGAGAACAGTCTTGGGAATATCAAATGCGCCACCACCCGAACAATACCTCCCAAAGAGACTTCTGGTGCTGTGTAAACCCTCCGATGTCATGCGGTAGAGGAAAGAACTTGATGGAGGGTTGGATGGATGGCCTAGCGCGATCGTCAGTCCAAGCATTCAATGGTAACAAGGGTTGAGGTCATACTACAGACTACCTACTTGGAGCCTTGAGCCTCGCATCGTTTCAGGCATTCGGCAGACCCAATAGAGGCGCCGGTACCGACAGCCGGAATGTCGCGTCTGAGCTGGACGAACTTGGCGGACAGAGGATTCCCTCCGAATGCGGCGGCAACCACACTTTGAGGGAGATCGAACAAGCCATTCGCGACGTTATGTGTCCCGGCATCCTCCGAACTGAGAGCTGAGATGAGGGTAGCGTTTCCACAGCCTAAAGAACACATGGTTAGTCTCTGTTCTCGCATTGCCTCAGTAGCGGAAACTTACCAGTATTGGACATAGTATGTAGACTCCCCTGCGGGAAAAGAGTCATCATCCCAGGCTCCAGCAGCGTCTTAACGACGCGTGCGCCGTTTTCCAGAGTCATGTATGTCTCGGTAGTCCCTTCAACCGATACGACGTAGTTGGAGGCCCTGGCATGGTAGTGAGGTGGCAGCATGGCGCAAGGGCCGAGGCTGATCCAGGCCATGCTCATGCCGTTGCCAACAGTTGCTGGGAAAGTGGCCGCGTTGGCGTTGACCACACCGCCGGGGCTGTTGGTGTGGAATGCATGCGAAAAGTAGTTGAAGGTCCAATCCTTGTCGTCTGGCAGTATCTTGAGCTTGTCGAGCTCTGTCGGGCTGGACTTCAGAGATTTGACAACATCCGGGTACAGAACCTCGTCAGTGGCGATGGCACTCGCTACGAGTAGCCCAAAAATGATAAAAAAGACTGTTTTTGGCGACATTGAAGCGGCGATCATGTTGGACGAAGTGAACAAGGTTAAGGCGACCAGAAAGGCGACCAACTCAATCGTGAATATCCCGTCTAGACCGTTCGTCCTCTGGCGGACTAGGACGAGGCGACCTTTTATCAGCCGATCCCTGACTATGTCCCAGACGGCTTTGTGTTGTTACTAGAGCCCCAACTGGCCTCGTGAGGCGCTCTTCAGCAATGGAAGCTGCGCGAGGGGGAGAAGCGCGGGGATCGAAGAGACTCAAGCAGACTCAATGACGTCGAATCAAAACACCGGAACGCTTTCCGGACGGAGCACAAAACCCACTGACACCCTCATTCGGGCGACGAGGTGCTACTTTCCCATCCTTCTGTATCTTTGAAGATCAAGGAATCCATCCATTGCTGACGAATGAGGATGACCGATCCTCTAGAGTTCTCCTCAGAGATCTCGATCGCTCCTGTAGGTCTGTCGTACGCGAGACCCTGGAAGTAGAGAGGACTCTGGACGCCTGATCCCTGAAACTCTCGGTGCTCAGTACGAGGCGAGTGTGCAACTCGCCACCCCGCCATCTGCACGGCGAGGAGCACACGGGAACCATGGTAAAGTGGTTAGCCATGTCACATCCCGGTATGTAGCTCAAAATGTGCGGCCGAGCTGCCTGGAGATGATACAGCCGTGCACGCCCTACTTTTACAGCTGTTCCACTGCTTTTTCTGCTGCGCAGTACTGCAGATAAGTCTGCCCTTGAGCAAATGATCTGATGACACCGTGAAAGAAAAGGGTTTGAACCAGCTGATGGCATTACCTTGCAAATGCATCTTAGGGCAACCTGATAAGCTCACTCGGTCTTCGGTAAAAGGTGAATTGGAAGCGGATACTTAGGTGCTCTTCGGGTCAGATGGTGTAACCAACGGGTCTTTTGCTAAGCAAACTCAAGTCGGTATTCGGCTGCAATTTGTTTGTGGGGGAGTGCAAGATGTTGAGTACGAAAGACTCCACCTTCTGATCAGTGTGTGTCTAGTGTTGTTGACAGGTTACCCATTCCTGGCGAGATGAGCATTTGTACACGCTGAGGCGCCGTCGTATACCTTGTGGTCTGCCACTCGTGACATTGAGAGCATGGTGTCTGAGGCGAGCCGTTTCCCTGTTTCTGAATTAACAGTGCGGATGAGGCTACCCGCCACGTAACGTGGATATGAAAAGGAACCTTCTCCGGCGTCTCCGAGGCCGCCGGTCTGTCAGGCTGATGCGATATATGATCTTCAATCCTCACCGACTCTCCATCATAGGAATCGTCAGCAGCGATATGAGTCAAAATCACCCCGTGATGCTGGTCGTGACAGACATGGCGGAGGGCATAATCGTATAAGCCTCATCCATATCGCTACGCCGACCTTCCGCGACGACTTCCGAGTCATTCGAGTCCACACCCAGTAAGCACCTGTCAGTTGGAGCCAAATGCCCGAGACATCTCCTAATACCTCGTGACGAACCCAGGTCTGCCTTGTTTGCCACTTGCAATCCTTTCGAGGGGAGGAAGGGTCGAAGCAACCGAGTACCATCTCATGCCCAGAAGAATGCCGACAAACCTACCATCCCGGACTGTCACGCTGCAAAAGAAGGGAGAGATACTAGTCAGAATTTAGACACATATGACCGAAATATAATTGAGATAGTCTATTATATCGATAGGTCTTGGCATTTGACGCCTTGAAAACGCTTCGCATCAATGAAGGGTATCTCACGAGAAACACATCACCGCTCGCTGACGAGAACCCACGTCCTCTGCAACCACCGCCGGAGGGAACTAAGCCAGGTACGAAAGCATTCGCCAAAGCCCGGGCTCACGGGCCCAGCCTTGAGATGAGCCAGAAAAACGAGAGGGAGAACGGTGTCACGTCCCAGTGACATATTGGAGTGGAGTTGTTTGGCACAGGAAAGAAGGGAAAAGATCAGGACCGAAACCGCAGGCCTTTTCGGGTTGGTTCCGTTGGGAAGCATTCCCCTTCAATGGGTTGCCGCTTACACGGCAAGGGGCTCAGGGCCCGGGTCGTATGGATGATTTTACAGGTGTCGCAAGAAGCGTCCTCGGCTTGAGCACCCTGCGCAAATACGTCAGTTGCTTCCTTAGAATTTTGCGAGGTGGGGGGTTGTTGTACAGTCACACTGGATATCCAAGGTCAGCAGGGCCACACAACGACGAGTGCCGAGGGGTTTACTTACGAAAGTCGAGGTCGAGCCCTCATTATGAACTAGGCAGTAGCCGCCACAGCAGCCTCTGCAGAGCCTCTGGGTGCGTTCGATGCAATCGTGACACTGTTTCTTGTCGTCAGTTGGGGTCCATGATCGGCAGAAGTCTCAAGTCTAGACTCGACGACGACGGTTCCGACTTACATTGCTCCCGCACTCCCAGCAACTCTTAGTGATACGAGCCTATGTCGGATGTCGGTCAGCGTCGTAATATCCAGCGATCTTGTGGACGGTGGCAAATTCAGCAAGCAGGCGCAAGATGCATAGGAACATAGACAGCATTGTGGCATACACTTTGGAGCAGACTACGCCGGACAAGAATAGGAAAAACCGTCCGGCCCGGCCTAGCGTAGCGCATCGGTGACCTCGCTTGCGGTGCATTTCGGGAAGCATATGCCGTTTCGTACCTTGATCTTGGGCTGGCTCTGTTGCTCCTCATGCTGGACCCAGGCACCTCCCTCGGCGTCGACAATGATCACATCGGTTTCGGCGAGCTCGATCGCGGTACTGGGCGTTTGATAGCACTCCTCGCACCACCACTTGTTGCAGCCGGCGCAGTAGCGTTCGCGGAGGCAATCGAGGCATCGCGCAACGAACGAGTCGGTCGAGGTCGAGCCGGTCCCGGTTTGCGGAGTCGTTGCCGCCTTGATCGAAGACGTCAAGACGGGCGGCGGGGCCAGAAGCGGGCGATGGCTTGCCGGCGTGTCCTTGTGAATAGTCATTCCCTCGGGGGCGGCGCCGCAGCCGGCGCAACCGCCCAGAGCAACAGTCGCGACGGCCCAATGGCGCGCCGAGCCCGGAACCCTTACCTTGCCGTAGGCCGGGGAGTTGAAATGATGAGGTCCGGAACACGGTACGGCATCGAAGGCGATAATACCGTGGCAGTCGACCAGGGTGTTGGCCCACTCCTCAACGAGCGGGCGAGTGATGATGCGGCCCTTTTTCTGGTACCACTCATCGCCCTCGCTGCGAAGGGAGGAGCTCAACGCCTGCTGCGACTTGGCATTCCACCCTGCGCTGATCTGCGCGGCGGCCGAGACCGCAGCGGCAGACGAGACGCCTGATGCCGTCATCGGGGGCAGCTTGCTGTCTGGCGCTCCAAAGATGTACAGGCCCTTCAGTCGGGGCATACCCTCTGGTCGCGAGGGCCTGCAGGCATGTTGAAGAGAGCCGCAAAGCCTGCGCTCGTTGAGGTTCTTTGCGCCGCGGACGGATAGAATGCGAACACTGTAGCTCGGGTCGTGAATGATTTCGTGGCAGAGCTCGGCGGTGACGGACAGGCCGTCAAGCACTAGCGTCTGCACATCTTGAAGGATGTTTCGGCGGCGGATGCTCGAGAAAATGCCTCTCAGCGGGCCAGAGTAGAAGCTGTTGGGGCATCGTCGCGTCAGTATTGGAGTTTTGCGATTCAAGTGTCATGCGATCCTCCGCAGTGGAGACTGAGGCCGCTTTGCGACCGGTAATGACGCCGTTGAACGGCCGTTGAAGAGCCGTTCGGAGCTTCGGAGGAAGCTCAAGATGGGGCTGGATTGGGAAAAGGACGAGAAAAGGAAGGTGAAAAAAAAAAAAAAAACCACGCACTCATCTTCGGTCAGATTCTCGTCAAGTTGAACGTTGCGCCATACTTCGCCACCGCGGTCGATACCATCAATGTCAAACTGCGCTGTGCGGACCTGGGTGAGGTCGAGATGTCTGAACACGCCCGGAGTGTGGGTGACGAGATCTCGGAAGCTTCGGCTCGTGGATGCGAGACTCAGACGATCATGGGCAGAGAGATGGGGAGCTGTGTGGGCGAGGATGAGAGGATTGTAGAGGAGATTGATGAGACTTGTGGGTGGGTTCTCGTAAAGCGTGTAGGCGTCGTCGACGTCCTGGAGCATGTTACGGCGAACGCGCGCGATGGGGTGATTTGGGGGAGCTGAGGTTCTGGGTGTTATGCGACGGCCGGAAACCACGAGGGCTTACGGCGATCAGACTGGAGGGTGAGATGTGTTGCTTGTGGTGTTTTGTTGGAGGGAAAGAAAGAGAATGCGACAGCAACCTCAGAGCTGAAGATGTCCGTCGTCTCGAAGGGTGATCGGGGGGGGGGGGGGGGGGGGGGGGGGGGGGGATCGCTGGCGCGCAATCTCTCGGTCTCGGCTTCTGGACGGTGACGTTGGCGGCGACTTGTTTACATGGGGCTGAACGTGTTGAGAGCTTTGCTTAGTGTTAGTTGACGTGAAGGACCATGTCAAGAGACATATCCTCGAGGGAAGACGTGTCGGTCTAAATATCTACGCCATTCGAACCTTGCCAGGCACAGGAAATGCGGACGGCGGGCTAGTGTCCGGGGCAAGCAAGGCAAGACAAGAAACGTGGGAGTGTCCATCCATCTGCTACGGTAAATTACTATTCTGGACCGTGAGGGTGAGGGTGGTAGCTTTGCGGTGAAGAGGTACTCCGTGAAGCGCGCAAGCAAGGCAAGGCCATGTACACGGCGAGCAAGGGACCTTGGACCTTGAACTTTGGGTCGACCGCACCGTCAGTAAGATGCGCCGAGAGATGCAGCACGGGCGGGCTAGAGCCCAGCAGGCTAGACCGGTCTAAGATCCAAGTGGATGAACGTCCAAGTTGCCCACCCAGATGATACCCTGACTGATGTACTCTACTCGGCATGCCCTCCACTCTGCTGTACTCTCGTTTGCTGTGTTTCGCAAAGACGCTGAAATAGCTCCATGGAAGGGAGGGGGAGGAAGAGAGTGAGTACGTAGGAGAGGCGCGCATCAGTAACAGGG